CATATTAGATAAATAATTTTAATTAATGCATATGTAAATAAATGTAGTTTAAGAAGTAATATTTACATTTTATGGAATTTGATATTCCAGGGCAATGAAGTGATAATATAAAAATGCACATGTGACGTTTGTGTTAAAAAATGAATCCCTGTTCTCTGCAACAAAGTGCAACTTTTAATTACTATGGAATGCAGTGTTGTAGATTGTGAACTGTGGAAAATCCAGAAAATGAATTTTAGGACAGTCCTTTGAAATTGTTGAAAAGAAAAGTTGAGTCATAAAATTATTTTCAAACCTACAGTGCTTGTGGTGCCTTAGACTGAAATCCAATTGCTAATTCATCTGTTATTGTATGTCTCAGACACAGACATCAGTTGCACATACAGTAGATGTTTCAGATATAGTTCGTATTATGGCCTCCTTTGTTCTAAAGACCGCTTTCATTTGTTCTTCTGACCATGTACAGTAGCTTCTGACAGGAGTCCCCAAACATTTGACAAATGTGAAATTAAAAGGTAATTTCTGAGAGAACACTAGGATTTTCTTAAAAGTCACAATGAAAAATTAAAACTACAGTAAGTGTGATGTTGATATAACAGGCAGGCTTTTGTTTACTTGAATCAGGTTCTGCCTCAAATTTACATATTTAAATTTGTATTTAGAAATTTATATTAGGTATAGCATTCCTGAGCTTATGTTTATTGTTCAACGATCAGCAAAATAAATGAATTAAACCAAAAAACAAATATATGTATTAAGGATTGAAATATAGCTTAATGAAGAATATGGTTCTATTCTCTTCACTCTTTAAAAATTGCCACACATTTAAATAAAATAGAATAATCAGCCCAAAAGTGTTTTTGTGCTTCACTGTAACTAAATTGTAAACTGTTAAAATTGCATTGTAATCTCGAGCAAGAAACAAGAAAGTGGTTGCTTGTAAAATTTGGTCACAAGTAACTTGAAATGCATATACAGTAAGGCATGTCCTTATACAGTATGTTATTCTTATGTTTTGTAAGAGTTATTAACCTTCATTTATTCTCTTTCTTTTTTTTCTGAGCATCAGTGTTGACAGAAAACATTTCTTTTGAAGCTTGTCTCCTTGTCTGTATGTCTGTGTGTCTCGTGGAGAGCAAGCTGGGGTATGTGAAAAGACAAATTCCTAATGCAAGAAATTGTATATGGCTAATAAAGTGATCTTGTTGTTTATTATTATAACAAAAAAGGTCCAAAAATGTGTGATATTTTAGCTACAATGGCTTTGGTCTAGGTTGGCTATGATCACAGCCCTGAGAAAATGTCTGTATATTGCAGGGTGTCTGACTTACAGTCAACACTTGAGGACCTATGTGCCAGCTCAGCTCAACATGACATTTTTCTTCAAAAAGAATCTTTAAAAAAGAATCAATGTGTTTATGTAAAGTGTTCAACATTGGTGTTGTTCAGAATCACATTGTGTTAACTGCTTCACCACAGCACAATTAGAAGTTCAAGTACTGTAGGTACTGTAGCTGCGTCAGCATGCATAGGCCACATGGAGCCTTCTTCAGAATGATCTCCACAGCCTAAATGATGTATCTCTTTTCTTTTTTTCATCATGGAATAAACAGAATTTATAAACACAATTTTATAAGAAGTTTTCCAGTTGAAATCCAGTTCAAAAGTACACTTTCTCATGTACAATAAAGACCACTAGAGAACCTATTCATACAACAAAGAACAGGCCATGTACTGAAGACATTTTATACCTTACTCAAAGAGAATACAGTATCTAACCTTGAAGCCACATCTCTCCAGTTCTCGGTCGACAAGGCTGCAGAATTTTTCATCATAATGGAGGTCATAGAATACACAGATACGGCTGAACGTTTTTAAGTAATATTTTCCTGCAAAAAGTACACTTAGTTTTGCTTTCCTGTGTAATGTTGGATAAAACAGGTTAAAGAAAAAAAAGGTGTCTACATTTCATTTTTTATTGTAATTTCAAAAACCAAGACAAGGAAAAAACACTTTACAGATATACAGTGATAACGTTCAACAGCATTATAATGGCTAATGTTTCATAATGTTTTACGTTTTTGTATGTCCCTTATAAAACAATTTACACATTATTACTCCACACAGTAAACAACTATTTACACTTTTCACAAAACATTTATACACTGGAAAGTTAAGGGCTTTTCCTTTATTATTTACAATTGGCACAAATACAACACAGAGGTAACAGACATTAAAATCGTTGGACGAATACAGCTGCACAAGGTCCAGATTGATGTAGAATGTTTTCTTCATGAGATTAAATTAAAAATAACTTGTTTTGAACTTAGAAAGTGTCAAATAATAGAATTGTAATAAATCAGAATTTTATCATGTGGCTAAATGATACTTCACATTTCATTCTGTACAAATATTTTTTGTCCTAGTGAGGCTATTTCTAATTTTAGGTTTTAAAAACAAATAATCTGTAAGACATTTACATTTGCATATTACGTACATTTGAGTGTTTTATGCAACATTGAAGTGGAAACCATCTGGTGCCACTTTGAGCACTTCTGAGAGAGTCAGGCACTGTATGGATTAATGCTGGGAGGGAATCTTTCACACAGTAGTGCAAAATTAAACTTTTACATCATTATCTCCTAATTTGATTCTACATTATTGTACAAGATATTTGTCTTGGATACATTCTGGCCTAAATTTAACCTATTCAAGATCTTAGTGGTCCAAGTGGATCCCAAGTTATAATTTTTAATAACGGCCGTTCATTGTAAACTAGGGTTAAAGTGATATAATTTTCATTTATTCTGTATTACTGTAAATTTACGTAGATGGATGTAGGCCATTGACTTTTTGAGAAATTACTTCTGAACATCTGGTTTTTCAAATGGACCCCCAGTTCCTATGCACTGTTGCCGAATTGTTTTGCTGCCTAACATGATCCTAAACATACAGTTGTTTTCCAGATAAGAAATAAAAATCTCAATGGCAAACAGACTTTGTTGTTGATAGATTATAGTTTTTTGTGGTAATTATGTTGTTTTATAAAGATGTAATTATGTTGAATTCATAAACACAAAACAGGAGGCAAGTGTGATGTATTGTGTAATAAAGCATTCAGCAGTACTTTATACCTGGAGAGTTCAGCAACTAGAAAAAGGCGGGAAAAAAACTAAATAAAAAATCAAGCATTAAATGTTTCCTACTGTACATCTCCTACATTTTAGTGAAGTCATGGACAGGTTTAAGGTCCAGAGTAATCAATAGCTAAAGATGGCTTTTTGTTTACCTGTATCAGTCCAAAAGAATCATGCCATCATGTACCTGAAATTTTCCAGAAAATGAATATGATTATTTTTATTCCAGGCTCCTGTGCCTACTGATTGTTCTGTTTCAGCTGAAGTCTTAATTACTTAGGTTGATGGTAATTGTTAATAGACACACGTTATGATCTCATCTCATTTTCTAATTGTTTACACCTGGTAAAAGACTGAGCAGAGCAGACCAGACATATTTTGATTAGACCTTTAATTGGAGTATTTTATTGGAAAAAAAAAGATAGACAAGCTAGAAATTGTATTGCACCCCATGCTGGGTTTACCTGTTTCAGTATATTGGTTAGATGAACAATTATCTCTATTTTAGGTTGATCCATACTAACCTAGTTTCTAACAAAGTCTCTTTACTATGGGAATGTGCAGTAATGACATGTCCTCTAGGTTCATTATATATTTTATTGGGAACTGAAAGTTGTTCAAACAAATAAAAAAGCTTAGAAACTGTGGACTAAGTGAAAAAAACATGCTAAAAGAATTCACAATTCACATAATGCAGAACTAAAAGCACATGAGCCTGATTTTCAAAGTTGATTTTGGTTTAGTGGTGAAAGATAATTCCACTCAAATGTTGAAAAATCAGTCAGGACTTTCAGGTATTAAAATGGAAATGTACAGTACACTTAAATTTAATCATAAAGAAATAATATACTGTAATTCCATAAGATTATCTTTAAAACCCCATGTAGAATGGATGAATTTTGCTCAAAAGGTGTAAGATATTGGGTGTCCCAAGGATCAAACAGTTTGAAGTATAGTAGGTGGCTATCTAATCTCAGACCTTATTATACATTATAGTGTGGGGCAAAAACTCATAAAATAAAAGCTTTAGAATATCTGATCATTGAAAAATTCAATTCTAAACTATGTATAGACAAATGAGTAGCCACGATGTCCGACCTGCAGATGATTATAGTCATGTGTGCTCAGTTTATCAATTTTTGTTTCAATTTTTATTCAGCTTAGGTTGACTTAACTCATACATTACTTTGCTTTTTTATGATAACACATTGCTCAGTTCAGCAAATTGCTCTCTCCCTCATTATTGTTTATTGTGATTTAGCTTGCACCTAAAGTAAAGAGCTCAATGTAAATTGATTCCATCTATTTCAAAATGGATACTGCAGTGTTATTTCTGAGGGACAGATAATTCCTCCTACTCTCCATCATCTTTGTCCAATTCATTGGGCTTAATGTTCATGATTAATGATAACTATAAATTGTCAGTTATATAGAGTATAAAGTATTTGGTAAGACAGCCCAACATTTTTAGACAATGGGTTATGCGTATGACTTTTGTTTTTTACATTACTACAGTATCTAATTCTGCATTTTAACTACTGTATGTGTGGCAAAAAGGGAAAAGAAATATAACTTTTCGCTTCTCATGTACAATTTTTACATCCCTACCAAGGTCAAAATCAATTCATTTTTAAAATAAAAAATAAGGATGGGAGTATTTTTTTTTTTTTAGTCAAGACCTAATTAATTTTATTTTAGATAGATGCATCTTCATAAACCTTTCTTTTTCTCCTTTTGCCTTCAGAGTTCCTGTTGCAGTAAAAAGTTCCCTGATTGTGATGGTTGGGATTTCTGCTGGCAGGGCACACTCTGGAAATCTAAATGCAATGTAGGAGCTTTTAGACTCTATTTCAGGAACATTATTTATACTGTCTAGGATCCTGCTTATTTTCATTGGCCTGTCTTGTCATACCTGTGAAGTCCTACAGTGACAAAGTACAGACCTCAAAGCAGCTAACAAATATTAAGTTCCTTGAATTTTGTACATACTTTTTACTCTAAAATGTACAGAAAGAAGCAATATCTGTTTGTCTTTTGGCTACTTTAATTTCAAATCTACAGTTTCAACTGCTTTTGTACTATAAGTACAGTAACTATCAGAACCATCAATTAAATTAAAGCTTGAAGTTTAGTTTGAAGTATTTACAGAACACATTTGTTTAAATTGGAAAGCATTTTCAAGAAAAATATATCTGCAACATTTATATGTAAATTCAGTAATTGTATAACCACTGTATAATCACATCTTAGCTCTGCTGGATGGGTGTTGTGGTGAGGTTGGGTTTATTTTGTGCTTTCACAATGCACCCATAGAGAAGTGACATACTGTACTGTACCAAGAAGAATAACTCTCCATACTGCCATATGATAACATTTTTAAAAGGAACATTTGGTATCTTTGATGTATGAATTCAACCATTACAAGGGTATACCAGAATATTTATTAAATCCTTTGAATGCTCAAAGGCATATTCTGTGCATTAATGTCTGTAATTCAAATACGTTATATACAATAGACACATTGTGTACACATACTGTTCTTCTCTTAGGTTCTTTACAGAGTTTGAAAATGATTTTTTTATAAATATTTTGGTATCTTTTTATATTATTATTTCTAATATTTCAGACATTTAAAAATAATACAAAACTGCATATCCTACTGTATATATTTCAGTTTCTAAAGCAAAAAACATCAAGTTTGTTTCTTACAGGAAATACTTTCCGTCAGTCACCTACTTAACTCAAGTTCAGTAAAACTCCAGATGTTTTTTATCTCTTTATTTTTGCTGATTAGGTCTGTTATTTATTTTATCATTTTATTTAAAGTGCCATTTTGTTTCACATATGTCTGGTCCTCAATTGCCACATACAGTATGCTTTTAAATGATGCAAGTTAATATTACCTGTTCTGTTAAAAATAATCTTACAGTACTTTTAAAATCTCAAAACAAGTCATTGTCTGTCTATTCATGCACATGGGTGATGTCAGTGGCATTTGTAAGATTTGCCCTGCACTGTTTGTTTTTAAATAGAGGAATCCATGAAATACACCTTTTTGCATTTCTTACACTCATTCAAATTCTGGTCACTCATTTTCTCAGAGACACTGTCAGGTGTTTCATGTATTAGGATTACATGGTAATATTATTTCCAGCTCTGTTCCTTCACTGTTAACACAGGTTTACCTTGCTTGGACTATAATCTCAAACAATTTGATTGCATTTGAGGAATATTTCATATGCACTATAAATTTTGTCTTGCTTTACAATTCCCTTATTTTTCACAGGCTTTAACTCATTTAGCACGTTGTACAAATGTTGGTAAAATATTTGAAATTTAAAAAATATTTTCCTCATATCAAAAGTGACAAAAATATATACATATGCAGATATTTCAATGACAGATAGCAGCTTTACCTTCACTGTATTTTCAGATTAGTCATTCAATCCCTATTAAACATTTCACTTCATGACAATTCATTAGAAATAGAGGACAAAATATCTTTCATGCATTTTCTTTAAAAATTGATCTTCTCAGAAATGTCCTGTCTTTCGGTTATCTCGTTATTTTAGCTATGCAGGGTAAAACATTAATATTTTACAACACAGCTGAAAAAAACAATGGATATGTGAAATGATCATTACTTGTAAGGTGGGTATTTGAAGTTGGTAATTAAACATATTTCTCTTGTCTGATTCAATACTTTTTTTGCACAAAATACACCACTTCACATTTGTTTACACCTAGATCACATTTATTTAAACATTTAATTTTATGGAGCCTACAGGAGGTGTTTGTGGAAAAGTCTGGGGTTTGACTGGTATTGCAGTACTGCGTACTGAAGAATTTCAACAGTCTATCTTGGAATGTAGGAAGGCTGTTGAGGCAGTGTGAGGGCACTTGAACCAGAGATTGGAAATGTTGCGGAAAGCACAATGTACTGACGAAATAGACAAGCCGATGAAAATTACTTACTCGGTTAGTTCAGTGTATTCATTCCGGTTATCTGTTTTCGTGAGGGGAAAAGAGAAACAAATTCACAGCTAAGACGTGAGAAAATTGGAATTTGGCAGTAAGTCTCAGTCTCCTGTGTCTCGAATTGGGCAGTGTAACAGATTAAACAACTCCTCTGCACCATTTTAGCAAAATATTGAACATCAGGTTTCTAATTAGGTTTAGTGCTGTTGTGTCAAAGCCCATTTCCGAAACACGCAGACCCAGAAGACAGGCAGTTACACAGCAGCTGTTCTGTTCTGTGTGACTGTGGAAATGCTGAATACAAGCATACTAGTCTGCAGTGTTAACCAAACTGGCAATGGAAATTAGAATTGCCTACTCGTCTGCCACCTCCTGGGACCAAGTTCATGTGTTGTAGTTTAAAAAACTTTTTTCAATAAAGAGATGCATGTCTTTCAACCTAAAAAACTTTTGAGTTGAATGCTGCCTAGTTCTTTATTATGCCTCAGTATGGATTAATCAGTGTACTTCTGCCATCTTTGCATCAACACATGACAAATGACTGTATACACCTTCTGTTGAAACACACACTGTGGAGCTATGCAGCTCTGACTGGTAACACTGCAAACTAGTGTGTGATTTCTAGTGGTTTCAAGCCCATCCATTACCTGTGGCACATGACCAGATAAAGAGAACCAGTCACAGACAGCAAATAACATATCCTACAACTGAATCAGTGACATCTTGCGTAAAAGGTGTAAACGGAACTCTGAACCAGTGTCTTTATTGATTGAGCTGTATGGGAAGTTTATTAGGACACTTTTTTTTCTTATTCAATATAGCTTTGTAATTAATGAATCAACTATTTTGCTTTTATGAAATGTTGATTACATTGAAAATCCTTGATCCTCTACAATCATAATACTGACAAAGAAATTTACAGTACATAGAATTCTAAAGGTAACTTTTTAAATACCATACATTCTAGTATGATGACTTTATTGTACACATTTTTAGTTTATTTGGGCTTTATACGAATACTTAATTCGTATTCGTCAAATACTTTAGGTATACATTTACCTATGGATGTAAATGGAAGTCACGAAATTTAAATAACAAAATTGCTTGATCTACAGAGTAGCTATAATATATTCATTAGATTCAGCTGAATTCCAATAAATCTAGATATTCTATATCTAGATATATATACACTGTATACAATTATAAACAGTAAATGCCTTACATGGCCCTTTAATTGCTGTCCGTGCGTGAGAGCTCCCAATCTGTTCAAAACTCTTAATAACAAGAGCACACATCTGTTTCCAAGAATTCTGAGTTTCAAAAGGGCATATTTCTGCAAAAGTTAATTATTTACTGTTTTTTTGTAATTTAAAGGTATTTTGGTAGATACCAATGGAACAAGGTATCCTTCGGCTGTAATCTTTTATCAGCATGGAAAAAGAGCCAATGCTGACCAAAAAGTGTTTTTTTTTCCCCCACAGAACAAATACATGTTTTTTGTTTTACCTAGAGAGAATATCTAATACTTTGAGGATCAGCAAGGGAAAGTGTGCGTTCCACAGCAAATATGAATCTTGCTTAACAATATACATGTACTGTATGTGAAGTCAATATCTCTGAATAGATGGCACATTATATATTGGTAACATCAACCATTTTGTACAATTTTCAGCATGAGGAGCCTATGTTCAGGTTTTATAGATACTTTTCAAAACCAGGGGACCTTGAATTACAAGTTTCCCCTGTACAACAGCTTACAGCTACTTGTTTATTGAAGGGGATGATTTTGCCCTTTTTCCCTTTCTGCTCATTTGTGAATTTAAAAAATATTTAGAACTGCCATATCAGAATCAATTCATGTTGGGAAAGACAAAACATCTTCATCTGTATCTTAAAATTATAATGTGTACAGGGCATTTAAGCAGTTGGATAGCAGGTAGTCTGCCAAGAACACTTTTAATGCAGTGCAATGCCAAGGAGCTACACACTTCTCTAAGCCTTAGGGATGAAGTTTTTAATTTGTCTAATCCAGGTGATTGTGGTCGAATCAAAGCACTTCATAACGCTTTGATACACTAGAGTGAAATGTATCTGTCTTATCTTGTGTGTGAAATTTTCATATAAAGTGCAGCAAAATAAAAAAAAACAATTATCATCATTGTGCTTTTTGCATGTATTCTATCTCTGGTTAAAATAAGGGACATTTTGAAAATGCTTATGTGGTTTATAGACTGGCAGCATGTATCTGCCCCTATGAATGGAGGCCCTTTTCTTTTGAAAAGATGGCCTACCTACTCCTGGGGCTCCTGTCACCATGTTAACCTCAGTCCACAGGATCCTGACACTGTATGCAGTGTGCCATATCTTCTGAGTAGTGCTCCACTTGAATTGTTGTGCTGTAAAATCCAAACTTGGTCTGGAGGAGCTCTGTGGCTTCTTTGAGGACACTCTGGGGATCACAATTCTCCTCTGAAAAATAACAAATACAGAACTTAATACACGTCTGAACAGCGAGGAATGATTCCCTGAAACAGATCGGTCAAGTGTTCCAAATAAAATAAATTACTTGTCCACTCTCCTACAGCCAGGCCATTTAAGATTACTGTTTAAAGATTTTATTGTTTTTGGCAAGCATGGTGATGCACAGATTTCAAATTCACAAGGCCATTTCTGCAAAAACAGAAAGAATGACAAACTGCCTAATACTCCTTTAATGTCATCTTCTTCTAAAGGTTTTCCATAAGATTATTAAACTTACTAAGAACTTATCTCAAATGGCCTGATTTTGCAATGAAAAATAAGGTGTAAAATAAGGTGGCACTACTGTTAGATAATAAAACCATTGCATTTGTATAGTTAATATAACTGTCATCAGATTGAAACACACCAAAGGCACACAGCTCTCTACCTTTCAGAGTTATGGTCCAATGCCAAAACCTATTCCAATATTTTTCACTCTAGCTAAACCTCCATGTGTTTGACAAAATTTTGTTTAGGGGAAACAAGAAAGGCTGTTCTATACCAAAGATGTCTACTAGTGCTTGGTTTGCTTTCAGAAAATAGGGAACTAATGTTTTCACAGAGCACAAGTCTGCTGTCTTGGTCCAGTATCAGAGTGAACTGTGGAGAGGGACTGTGAGAGGGACTCACCAATGGCAATATGAACAGAGAGAAGGGTCTGACCCAGAGTCAGTGCCCACAGGTGAAGGCTGTGCATCGCCTTCACGGCCTTCAGAGACAGCAGAACGTCCTTAACAGAGTTGAATTCAATTCCCTTTGGGGCCCCTGCAGGAAAATAAGTTTACTATTACCTGGCAACACAAACTGTAAGAATTCGAACTCAGATAGGGTCAGATGCTCCTTCTATGTCCTAATCTATGCCGAAAGTACTTTTTGATTAAACAATCAAAAGCCTTCATTTTTTAAAGAAAAACCTAGACAATAAATGTTTTTCAACTTTGTTTATAAAAAATTCTTTAGAAACCAGAATGTTCATGAAAGTACTGTACCATTTCCATTAAGAACAATTAAAGAATAGATCACACCCCACCCCCTTCTTATAGAAAGTAATTATTATAAAGGAAAATGAGTAATACATCTATTTGTAGACGTGTTATAACTCCAGGTGGCCCCCGACTAGCTCTGTTGGTAGAGCATGAGACTCATAATCTCAGGGTAGTGGGTTTGTGTCCCACATCAGGCGCCAGGTCCTCCATGTTGGAGGTTGGGCACAAGGCTAACAACCCTGTCCTGTAAAAAACTAATGTTACAGCAACAGGATACTGCTGCCCCTACATGCTGGAAGGCACAACGGGCAAACATCCACATCCATTATAACTCCAGGTAATCAAGAATTCCTGGGTTAAATGTGTGTCATAGACTAGCTAAAGTACTAGGGACTAGTAATGCTACTAGCGATCCTGATGAAATTCAGCTGTGTCTAGCAACAGTTGCTGACGACAGAAAGGAATTTTCTATCGGAGTACGGGTATTCTCGAATAAAAGTATACAAAACCTTTAAAATAGAATTCAGTTGAATTACATTTAATATATATATATATGCAGTATGTTTTCCATCCATTTTATTACCGCTTTATCCAATGCAGGGGTGCAGGAGAGCCAAAGCCTAACCTGGCAAGCAACAGGCACAAGGCAGGATACACCCAGGATGTGACACCAGTCATCAGACACTGTATCTGTGTGTGTCTTGTGACAGACTGGCATCCCCTCCAGCGTGTATCCTGCCACTTGCCCGTTGCTTGCTGGGATAAATTCTGACTCCCCCTCAACCCTCTATAGGAAAAGTGGTTAGAAAACGGATGGATGGATAAGTTAGTAGGCATGCTACTGTTGACTATTAATAGGGCAAATAAAATACTGCATCAAACGCAATGGGCTAATAAGCAGTATTTCAGAAGACTGGAATTTATTGAAAAAGGAGGATAGCAGCACATGAATGTATTTTAAAACCAAAAAATATTTATGCAAGGCGTACAATATAAAATTACATTTTGAAATACAGAACTTCATTCAACTGCTGACAACTGAATGTGAAAATTCACAGCTGATCAGAATGCTCACAAAACCCCATACTGTCTTATAAATAACACTCCATGCATTTCTTTACCTTCCATAAGTATTCTAAATACATCCCTCAGGATCGTTGTGGTGGTTCCCAAGACAAATACGGAGAATAGGAAGGTGCAAATTGGATCTGCTATCTTGTATTCAGGCTGTGGGTGATAAGAAACGTCAGTGGTTGTAACTTGAAATAAGCTCATCAAGAAGGATGAAATGAAGAAATTAAATATTTCATATAGTTTTTACTGTGCTCTCCTGTTTCCTGAAACAAACATTCTTAACATATGTAGTACATAAATAATTATATAAAGCAATTTTTGTACCAAAATTATATTTTATGTTTCTCTTAATACATGTGTGGCTTCAGGGCATGCTGTTGTTGTTAGCTGCGATAAATGTTTTTGAAGAGTCAACACTAACCCTGAAATAAATTATAATGGCTGCCACCAGTACTCCAACACTCTGCAGGAGGTCTCCGATGACATGAATGAAGGCGGCTCTCACACTGGTGTTGCCATGGGCCCCTAGGAGGCTGTGTGAGTGCCCGTGGCTGATGGGACTTTCACCTCCCTCATCTATTTTGTGGTACCCAGAGCCATGGCTGTGACTGTGCAAAGTACTGGACTGATGCAGGATTAAGGCCATTCTGAAGGATCAAAAGAAACAGGGCAGAAACAACTTGTGTCAAGAAACAAGCAATATCACAGTTTAATATATCCTTTCTTTTTAGTTCACACCAACTTGGTGGATATTAATTTCTAGTTTTTTCTGAGCTTCATCATTTTCAGACCTATAAAAAATAAAAATAAAAAAACACATTTGAATTCAACCACAGCTTAACAAGAAAAAAGAAAAGAGGAAAGAAGAATTTACATAATCATCTAGCAAAGTAAAGGAGAGGTGGAAAAGCAGAGAATGACAGCATTAATTCTCTCATTTGGCCAATTCCAAAAGAAACACCCAGCTCATTTGTGAAACTGCCGTGTGTCATTTTTAGAGCCAAACAAAATGATTTCTCATTTACAAATCAAAACTATTGAAGCAAAATGAACTCGTAACTCATTTATTACATGTGCACTAGCTTGTTTCAGCAGCTGTAGGCGAATAGTAATTGCTGTAGGGTGTGTTAGCAAATACTGCCAATACTTTGTGAACAGACTATAGTGTATTCAAACATGTGTCATGTCATGATGAGCTGACACTTGGGATTCCCCAAGTAATGATGTGCAAGTGGGGATTTTACAATTAGCTGAGCAACATTAAAGATGCCCCTTAATACACCATTACATTACCCTTAATAAATGTTTATTTTGTAAATTTTCTACTAATCATTACTTTGTTTCAGCATCCCTCTTCTACAGAGAACAAAAATATATTAACATTGATATTAATACACAACAAATAAATATTCATGCAAGATTTCTTTTGGAGAGGATTTTGTGGATTGGAATAATCCAGGGCAGGGACTGTATTTTCACTTCCAAACTACACAAAGCAAAGATACTACCCATGTTGTTATCAGATCATACCAGTTTCTGCAGATTTGTTTCAATAAATCCTCCCATAAACCAAACTAAAGTTTAATGCCACGCTACTACAAAATGATGTGCTCTGAGTGAAGTTTCAAACTAAACAGGAGGAACTGGCAACTTCCTTCATCAGTGAAGATACCAACCTGTTGCACTAGCTGAAGGACAACATTATCACTGAGGCTGGTGATTTTAATGTGTTAGCAGTTACTAGTCTCTGATGTGTTCCAGTTATCCGAAAAACTGCAGCACAGGCAAGCAAAAATCAATGACTTGATTGTTACTTCAGATTGCAGTGGACAGTCACTTAAAGGTTAGGTAGTCTGTAACATGCTTTGTTTATTGATGGGAATTGATTAGTCAATGAGCTGTGGAATAATAACAGATTCTGATGCTACAATACCTGAACCAGATTTGTTACTGCTTCTGGTTTCCTTGCACCATTATAGTGGTCATCAAGAAATGAGGTCTTAAAACTGTAAGTAATCTATGTGATGTGCATACAATACGTTCCTCAGTCTATACATGCAGGTCACATATATCTTTCACAAATGCAGTCATTGAAGCTGCAAAGATGCCCTTGTTGCATGGCTTCATTCAGCAGCAAGAAAAGACAGAATATGAAAATCACAAAGTATGTTACTTAATTCTGGAAGTGTTTTGGACAAAGATAACCAATAATTGTAACTTATTAACTTGTACTTATCTGAGCTGAGCACATACTATATTTCTAATAAGATAATGTGAAACTTGAAGGATACTCCAATTGTAAATTAATTCTAAGCTGTTTAGCAGCTGACGTTAAATAGGGAAAAATGGCACAGTATTTCAAGCTTACATTACATTGACCCCAACTGCACAGCCTGAAGTTATGAGCATCACGTGGCCATCAATCTCATAGTTATTGTTGACAATTCTCTCAACAGCCAAGTACACTAGCACTCCAGTCACGATCCAGATGGACAGCACTGAAATAAAGGCCCCCAGAATCTCTGCAACAAAAACAAATAGGAGAAATGAGCCACAGGAGTTCACAGATTGATATACAACTGGATTTTTGCTTAAAGGTGAGCACTCTGAGCAAAATGATTCATAAAAGGACTCACAATGTTTTGTTCATAAATTGTGTTTTCTTTCCATTCCTCTAGAACATGGATTTAAATGAACTCTAATCTGTACCAATATATCCAGTAAATGCAATGTGTATATCAGTAAATGTACTGTATGACTTTCATGTTGAATAGATTAAAAGGGGAACTGCAGTCCTAATTTCTCAGACCGGTTATTATATCTCGGTAACAAAATTAATCCATTTGGGGTATAGAAAATAATGTAAAGTTTTAAATTAAGCACGAAATCGTGAAGTTTGTAAAAGTACTGTAAGGCACCATGTTGTCTCAAACCCTGGTTTTGCATCAGGTGAGAGCAAGAGTTTTCACAAATCATTATGTGAACCTTCCTGCTCAATAGTTACTATAATGACTAAGGTAATGCAATGTACAAGTGAGTAAATATAGGTTGTGCAGCAGATACTTGACCGCAGAAATGTTCCAATGTGATCTGCATGCAGAGGTAACAAGTAGTATTTGTCGGCAAAACTGTCTCGAAGTTGAGAGCAATATTTCTGCTGCATTAAAAGTGATTAATTCAGAAGCCTGTTATGGAGAATATGGAGCTGCACATACCTTGAATTTTCTTCTATTTTGTAATGTGAATGTGAGGTTTTACAAGTTACTGTGTACATTTTACTTTTAAAGTGGTTTGAAATGCACTCATCAATTCCGATTCTTTCTAACTCTGAAATATAAAAAATAGCATTGCAGTTCCCCTTTAAATGGATCTAGGGGTTACTTGGGATCCTTTTCAGATTTACACTGGAAACATTTATTCACAGGGCTCCAGGGGGAGAAGGTCCCAGATAGAACATTGTTTGTTGCTTTTATTACACCTGAATTGTTTTAATTAATAGATTATTTTCTGGAAACAAATTAAAACCTGTCGCTGGGCCATAATAAACAGCCACCTCAAATCAAGTCCATGTGTTCAATCATGTAACTCAAAATCCTTAGATTTTTTAGAATTTTTTAAGTGAGCACAAGACATGCAATACATACAGTATGCAAGAGGTCGCTTACATAAAGACCTTCGACTTATGTCATTCTGGTAGAATGAGCAGAAACATGCAATTCAATTCTACATATCATCACAACTCAACTGATTGTCCTGCAGGAAGAATGAGATTGTATGGAGCTTCAAATATTTCACACCGTTGTCACACATCCTGCTTATTGCAAAGTTCCAACACACTATGTAATGAGGGGTTCCATTGGTTTGCGCTGGTAGAATGTAACATTATGGTGCTGATAACTACTTTTGTGATAATTATGTTCTATTTTGGTTGAAAAACACAATACAACAAACAATCCTGGGTTTTTTTCCATGCTGCCTTGGAGTTTTCCAATCCACGAAATCCTCTCCAAAAGATTACTGATTCCCCTTTCCCCAAATGATTTATTATTTAAGCAGTTATTTTATTTAAAAAATATTTTACATTTGTCCAGTAAAATATGAGAGTGCTTCCACAAGTAATGAATAATAAACAATAACATATTTCTAATTTATAATCAAAATGTCATCAAATAACAATAAATACAGCACTTTCATTTACTTTTTCTGATGTTGCTTTGTCCACTTGTACTCCTCCCACCCCTACTGCAAAAATAGTTTGAAAATGGAGAGAAATATTAGGCCATTTTATTAATTATGGCAGTCATGCATAGTGGGATCCTGGTCCTACCTGATCTGTGCCAACCAAAGCTCATGATTTTGGTGGGAGGCCTGGATGAAATCCACAAGGAGAATAAACTGACCATCATGCTCCCAAAATCTGTGAGCAAGTGCGCAGCATCAGTCATTATTGCCAAGCTATGGGCAAGGTAGCCACCTGTGGAAACAGGAAAGGAAAGACATTACTCTGGAGTCCACAAATGGAAAGCGTATGGACATTTTGTTAACACTAGATACCAAAGTACGTCCTGAAGCACAATTGTTCCATGAATTTAAATTTAGACTAAGACAAAATACTCAGGTAAAGGAAGAGATGTAAAATGTAAGGATATGGAATCTATACTTTAAATTGGTGGGTTTTACACTGGCTGTCTGTGTGACAGATCAGTTAGTTTTCTGAGCAGTCTGTATCGGTTTTAGCCATGGGTGTGCAGCTTACAAAGAAAATAAGTGCAGGCTTTCACAAGAGGTTGCAAGAGTTACAATCTGCTTTGACTGATTTTAACTGAACTTGAATAAATAACTGAATGAATAAAGCACACAGAGGAGGACATCTAATCATTTTCATACTATCCACCTTATTTGATACAGGGTTGCTGGGAAGCCAAAGTCTATTCTGGCACAAGGCAGGATACACCCTGGATAGGACACCAGTCTATTGCATGGCATACATAGATACAAACAGGCACACCCTCATACCAGGGCCAGTTTCCCCAGGAGCCAATTAACCTATCAGTATATCTTTGGACCGTGGGAGGAAACTGGAGCACACAGAGGAAATCTGCACAAACATGGGCAAAATATACAAACTCTTTGCAGATAGCAGCCTGGGAATTGAACCCAGGGCCCCAGTAATGCTAAACAATGTGTCCCTGTACCACCCTCATCAGTCATAGGTCATGTTAGCAGCTACTCTATTGACTAATGTTCTTCCCCTAAGGGTTAAGAGAGGAGAAATACAGTCGTCTCTCCCATATGGTTAATAGGGGAGAACCACGGTCCACTCTGACATAGTAGAGGGTTTTGTGTGTTGCTCCCCTGATGTCACACTACCAGTTAAGCAGTATCTGCCACAGTTTTTGTTTTTTAATTGTTTAATTACTTTTTAAAATGTTATGAAATGTTTTCAACTTGACGCAATAAGAAAATATTGATGTTTTTCAACTTCATAACTGGATGGGTTTGAACCGAGATTAAAAATTGGTTTCCTTCCAAGATTTAGTGCTGAATGTAACAGAATTTTAATGCATTGCAGTCTGGTCTTTTAATTTTGGTTTCTGTCTAAAGATGTCATTTCAAGCACAGAGAAATTATCATTTCCATGTGGTTAAACCGAAACAGGGAAGCTACAAGTTGGGAATCAAAGGTGATTAGAACAACATGTAACCAAGATATCTCAAAATGTGATGGAAAAAATACAGAAGACGAGTAAGATGTGGTATAGTCTACTTCGATTTATGGCTTCTGTTGTTAATATTAAAGCAAGTTAGTCGGTTTGCCCAATTGCAGGCAATTCGTGATGGGGTTTTTAAGTGGTTGGAAACAGGTAAGCAAGTCATCTGAAAGGACGAGAATTTGAACTTGTTGGAGTAGTCAAATGGACTGTGGAATTTGAGATTAATGATGGTCTGTCTAATGCATTAATTTTCTTCTTTACTTACCATAATTCCCTGCCTTATTAGTTTGTGTATATATTGCTTAATTACATTATTTATGTGCTGCCCTTTCTCTTCTCTGAACCGAGTTTTCAGGTAACTAGCAAGCATTGATCCAATGACAGCAATTAGTTGATTTGCCTGGACATTGGTTATAGCTGGTGAGCTACAGTTGACCTAAATATCATTTGACTTCATTGTTGCCTTCCCTTCCTTATTATATTTGGTCTCTGTGAATGGAAAATGTCAATGAAAAGGACAATAAGGTCTCTCTGTTTTTCATGTCTGTTTCTTTTTTATACCTATGTGTGATCACTTCTTTAAATAACTTTCAGTGTGATTTAAATAAAAGGTTTGTTAAGATATAAAAACTAAATTAATTTGCAGTGAATCCGAAGACTTGCTATGATCTCAAATATATATGAAATTATGGATTGGCATGATATTACCAAGCTACATTGGCCCCCAGTGAACGCTGGCAAAGAGTTTTCTGGTTATCTGGAGTTTGGTCTTTTTTTTCACCCCTTATCCACAATTGTTCTCTGTAGAGGGTAGAATTTCCAGCTCCTTCCAGGCTTAGGTTATTCTTGAATTATTAAAGCTGCTTTCTGTGACTTGTTCAAAAATTCTGTTTTCATGTGCAAACATTCCCTCTTACCTATTACTTCTCCAATCATAAAGATTAAACAGACTAAAGACGCAATATAGAGTTTCTTTCTGGCAAGCTGTTTTTCATGGCTCTCCCCACACACAGCTCTGTTGCCATGGCAATGAACACTGACAGGCCTCTTCAGCTCAATGGCTGTAGCTGTATCTCCATTTTCAAATGGGAAGTTTGGATACCCCTCCTTGGATCCAGGAAATGGGCTAGAAAACAGAAAGTGCACTTGAGTTATTTTTTATTAGCATTTTGTTATTATGAAATTACAAGGAATGCACTATGCAATGTATAGAAAAGTAGAAGAAACCAGAACACAAATAGATAAGTGATACCACATAAGAGTCAACAGTAGAGGTCTTTAGGATGCACAATTGTTTATGAGTACTAGATAAAAATGTAGCAGGAAGAAACCCAAGAGCTTCACAATCCCTTTTCAGAAAGCAGACCACTTTGTAATTAGAAACACAGTTACAACAAATGTAATATCTCTTATTAAATAATAATTTCATAGCATATTTAATGTCAAGACATTTCAAAGTACTTCAAGTACTTTCAAAGTACTTTACCCAGAAGCCAATTAAGCTACCAGTATGTTTTTGTACTGTGGGAGGAAAATAGAGCACCTGAAAGAAACCCCTGTGAAAATGGGGAATCATACAAACTCTATGCAGATAGCACCCCAGGAATTGAACCATACACTCTTGCTTTGGGAAGCAGCAATGCTAACCACTGGGATACTGTGCTGCCTGTTATAAGATCTTCGATGACCAAACAGTGTAGAGCTCAGCTTACTGTCTCATTCAAAGGATGGCCTCCTACAGCACAGTTCCCCCGTCACTACACTGGTGCATTTCTCTTGGCAATTCTAGTCCAGAATGAAAAGTGCCACCTACTGGTCCACCACACAACTTCTAGCCACATTCTCTTTTTAATTTAGAGGTCACAAATTTTGTACTGGCAAAGCCCAGTCTTGTATAATGTTTCAGCACTAAAGAGGCTGGAAATGGGTAACGCTGTACTCTTGACGTGAATTTGTTATTGTGTTTATTTAGGACAGGGACATATTGCTTGTATTAACATATTGTTGGTTGAGAACTGCTTCTGTAAGAATGAGAGCAAATGTTTGTATGTGTAATTGGCTTTTCTGGCCACAGCACATTTCAGACAGTGATTGTAAATCAGCAGGAGGGATGTTAGCCTAAAGGTTTCAGGACATGCTCAATTAAGCTTGACTGCAGCATGTGGGGCTTTCCAGTCAAGCGTGTCATACTCAAGATGTGACCCCATCTGCTTTTTGGACTTTTATATTCCTCAAACAAGAACAAAGACCATGGTTCATCTTAGGTATGGTCCTTTGAGATGTGATGACTGCAAATCCAAAGGTAAAAAAGGCCAACGTGATGAACTCTACAAAGACAAGTATCTACAGCTGGTCCATGTTATTGAGGAGACAGGTACAAAGCATGATAATGTGCACTAATTGGACTAATAATGATATCCTTAGGAGCTCAACCAGAACAAAAAAGAAAGATAACTGCTGCTTTCAGGATCACATTTGCAGACGCCTGCAATTAGACAAATGGAATTGACCCATTTACAAATGGGTTAATGGAACTTAAAATTGCCAAATACTTTATCTTTAAAAGTTTGTTATTGGAGGAATTACAATTGATATGTATTTTGGACATTAAAAGTCATATGTGCAAATTCAATTCAGAGTTACAGTATATGGAATCCAGTGCCCATGCTGGCAAGCAACAGGCACATGCCGGGATACACTCTGAACGGGATGCATTCATACACACTCACATTAGGGCCAAATTTCCCAGAAGCAAATTAACCTACCACTGTGGGACTGTGGGAGGAAACCAGATCAAGAGGAAACTCATGCAAACACAGGGGAAACAAGAATTTCATATAAACCCCAGGAATTGAACCCAGGCCCCAGTGTAGCAAGGTAGCATAGCTAACCACTATACCACCACTAAAGCTCAAAGAAGCCTTCCAGAACTTAATGGTATAATTTTAAAATGGGAATCAAATGATGAAACAAGAAATTATGTATACTGTACATCCTCACAGAGACAATGCTGAAGGAAAGAAGCAAAATGTTTAGGATTTTGATGCCAACTTAATAGATAAAGCCTACTTTTCCTCATTACTGTGGCAGACCTTTTAAAGAATGGCTGTTGTAAGACAGATAGCCATTACGGTTTGCTACCCTGCAAAATACTTAATTTCAACAGCACTTTATCATTGCAGTTTCCAGTAGCTGGTAATCTTCCTAAGCACTGACCCTTGCCATTGTGGATAATTCTAATTGCTGTCAAGGAAGACCTAACTCAGCAGCTTTCACCCTGAAGCTCACAGTTAAGTCCACAGAATCAGAAGGCAGAAGGCAGAAGGGTGAAAACCCACAAACATGGTTCAAAAATGGCACTGCAATATTTTGCCACTACCTTTTACTGACATTTTAATGTCAGAGTTATTAACAGAATCCATTTAATTTCCAGTAACTATCAAATTTCACATCTGATAAATGTGTTAATGCACTTGCAATGGTCTGTTGTTGAGTGAGTCCTCGTAATATAGTTTGCTTTATGGGATACATTTTGCTGACTCCTCAGACGTATATGGATAGGCTGATACAGCAGTAGAAGCCTGCCACCTGTGAATTAGCACTTATTCCTACAAAATTTCTAATGAAAGCTTGTATAGGAAAATGATTTGGGCTTAATAACTTATTAATCCTGCTTATTTCTGTGTGCCCCAAACCTTCATGCCTCTGATGATGAAGTCTACTGTGAATCATAAACAGTAAATACCAGTTAAAGATGCAAAGGTATTAAAGGTTTCTTAATTCAACTAAATCAACGTTATATAATTTATGCATCATTCCAGTTTATAGCTTAAATGTTATTTAAAGTAAGAATAAATTGGGTATGATATTTTCTTGAACTACTGTATGTATTTAACATAATTCTTGGAGATTTTGAGCAAAATTGGCTGAATTTTAGTGTTACAGTATTTTGTTCCTTATCTTCTTGTTAACTGTTGCTAAATTGGTGATTCATTTAATTTACGAGTTACCCTTTGGAAGGGATTTGAGATATCGATGTACTGTACAAAAAATGTTGTATTTAAATAAACAGCAATAAATTTTGTTGATGTAAAAAGCTGAATGTTTCATATTCTTGAAACATAATGTTTTGCAAAGTACAGCAGTTAGTGATTTACTGTCTCTTTCCATTTATCATAGTCCACAATAACCAGAAAACATCCATTCATTTTCTAACCACTTCATCCAATTCAAGTTCGCAAAGAAGCTGTAGTCTATCAAGCAACAGGTACAAGATGGAGTAGACCCTGGACAGGACGCAAGTCCATCAGGGGACACACACAGACACAAATACAGACGTGTACACACTCACACCAGGGTCAATTTTACCAGGAGCCAATTAACCTACCAGTATGTTTTTGGACTGTTGGAGGAAACCAGAGTACCTAGAGGAAAACCACATGAACACAAGGAAAACAAACTCCACCTCAGGAATTGAACCCAGGGCTGACCACTGCACCACCTCATAGAAAAGTACTAGAAAACTATAACAAGGAAACTGTAGCATATTAAAATCTGTAGCATATTAAGTTTTATATGTCAGAGGCTCTCATGAGCCCTATACCAAGTATAGTAATGGGTATTCACAAAAGCCAGTGTGAAAGCACTACCTACAAATATAGAGATTTCGTATTTCGGTCAAAAATACGTACACAAAAACTGTTAGAATTCTAGAACACTATATACTTTCAGAAACGTTTACATCCTTTTAAGTACTTGTTTATTAGAGCTGGAATCTGGGAGGAAAACTAAACTGTGCTCATTATACAAGACTAAGTCTAGTGCCCACAGTACAAGACCTTCAAAAATAGGGGGGCCTATCTTCGGAGAAGCACTGGGACCTCATTAAAGGCAGAACCACCTGCAGTCTGTGCAGTTGCCCCTTTGACTTCCTATAAAAGTATGAATGGAAAGCATTCAGTGCTTAAACTATCAAGGGATGGCAATATTATATCATGCTTATATTGTCTATATAAGCTGGAAATTGTCTATTGGCCTTCATTTAGGGGACACTATGGTGTCAGAGGTCAATTTACATCATGGAGTCACTTAATAAAGGAGATTTTTCAACAAAAGATTGACAGATACAATTTCAAGCTCAGCTGCATTTTTCTAACTAGAAAATCTCCCTTTTGATTTTCTGTGTCAACCACACACTATATTTATATTTTTCTAATTTACAACCATTGAATTAATTCTCCAAGGTGTGCATGTGCTCCATTTTTCTCCATTGGATCACTGAGCTGGCCCCATTGCTAACGATCATGGTGTCTAAACAAAGTGGTTTAATTTAAGTTTGTTGAGATGGTGTTGTAATTTAACTATATGATTGCGGATTTTGCATTTTGTTAATTATTGAAATGCATGTTATACAGCTGCCTTAAGGAAACTGCACTTGAATTATCTGTGAGGCCTCTTGCCCTTTCTAAGAGATTTATTAAGACTAATGCATGGCAAGAAATTTACAGTCAACACATTTACAGTACATTGAAATGAGGTCTGATATTTTGTGGGAAAGTTTTATAATGTAATTCCTATACCAAAAGAATGCAGATCTCTCAACATGCTGAAAATTCCCTAAGCTAATTTTTGGAAAACATCACCTATACCAGTCTGAAAACTAACATGTTTAATGTCACATTAGTACACATTCCAAAAAACACATATTGATTAGAATTAGATATTGAAATAAATGATTTGATCATCTTAACGGTGGTATTTGAACAAGAACTATCTCAACAGCAGAATAACATGTCAAAAAGAGTTTAATAAGTAGGCCTGTTCATTTTTCAAGTTAATTCTTTATACATGTCATAACCACATAACCACACTTATAAATCCTAACCTTTTAGTAAAGCTAGTTATGGTATATTTCAGTATTAATTCCATGAGTGCATGTACTACTAAATTATTGGTATGGCCTATGACAAGAGGTTCTTTCTTTGGATTTTATTACCTTTCAGCTTTTAAAACTGGTTGAATTCTAAACTGCAATTGCCTCACACATTGATGGAAAGTGACAGAACTAGAATCAATCATCTTTAATTACTGGTATGAGTCATGATAACCCGGAGCCTATCCCAGAAA